CCAACAGGCATTTGGGGATTGGAAGAAATGGGGATTCCACGTGGGAAAATACAACTGAACGAGGGGAGGAGTGAACATCCAAGCCACGCGTTTGGAAAGCAGAACTACCAAGAGCCTCCGGGGGCTACTGAAAATGTGTTTGAGACAAACATGCAGTTTTCTACCAAGTAAGTGTTTCTGGGTTTGGTTTCGAGGGGTTGCACAGCCAGAGGAAGATCAGGAAGCTTTGTGTCCTTTGGTGAGCCTGCACCCTGAATACTCTGGTTCTGGCTACATGCATGACGTCAGTGCATTGCAGAGAATTCAAAAAGCAACGCTGGTTGTGGTGGGATTGAGTTATGGAAAAATATGTGCCATTGGGCCTGCAGATTACAAGGCTTTGGAAGGTTGCTAAAACCAAAGCATGAGAGAAAGTGTGTAAGGTGCTACCCATGCAACCAGGACAGAACTAGAAGTCATAGGCATGAAGCAAAAGAATACTTACCCCAACCTCTGGGGCAATGCAAGTTAGCTCCAGGTTAACCACCTGTGGCTGGCCCGTGCCCGCTGACTCGGGCTGTTTAATGGCAGTATAGACAGCTGGGTTTGGGTTGTAGCCCAGGCTTTGAGAGGTCCCAGAGCCTGGTCCTCAGCCCAAGCCTGAACATCTACACTGCCATTAAAAAAGCCCTGTGAGCCCACGTCAGCTGACACTGGCCAGCCGCGGGGATCTAAGCACAGAGTAGACAGACTCTACAAGGTCTTTTTTGTATTGTTAACTCCTTGACCACTGAAGAGTTTCTACAGCACCAGATATACTAGAATTTGGGGAATGACTGGGGTGGGATTCTTGCAATCTTTGGACTTCATCTTTGCAGGAAGGCCTACTTTTAGATTTGTACCACACACTGACATGAGCTAGAGCATCCCAGAACCCCTCCCTGTGATCATGCCTAGGACACAAACGTAAATACAATGGGAAGTGCACAGCCTGTGAATGTCCTGGCCCCTTCCCCTGCTGTTCGTTGACATCTGAAAAAATTGTACACCACCTTTATTTTCCTCATTCAGGTAAACGGCATAAACCCTGGCTGCTCCCTCTGAATCCAGAGGCCAGGTGGACAAACATCTATTGGTGAGAGACAAGCTGCTGAGCTTACACAAAGCTCTTCTTCAGGTCTTCTGTGAATCCAGACAGGCATGGCCTTCAAGTGTCATCTGGGCAGTGCACCAGGCCAAAATTTCTCGCCCTGCTCAGCGTCAACTATGACCGTGATCACTGCAGCACAGCTGGAAGCCCTGAGCAATCGCTGAAAGCCTGAGATCAGTCAGGTATGAACTCTCCTGACTCATTCCACCAGCTCTTGACCCTGCCATTAGCTCAGGGAGTGACAACTGAGAGGCAGTGTAGGTCAGAGCAAGCGATCTCCTGTGGAGAAAGGAGTAGGGAGCAGCAGGAATGAGGGTTGGGGATTTTTAAAGAGGGGAGGAATTAAAAGATGAGGCCATGTATGCTTGTCTTTAGTGCAATTAATGGTCCAGGGGATAACAGTAATCACCCTGATTAAGCACCTTACTAGAACAAATTTATCCCAGACAGTTAAAAATAATCTTCCGTTTTGGCGGTTAGAACATGCGTTATTTATGCTCTGAATATGCTCAGTGCTTTTTCACACAGCCGTGCAAATGAACTGTATGTTCTGAAGGCTTGCTTCATAAAGGGAACCTATTTTTGCAGTATCCTAACATTCTGCTCACTTTCATTTTGGCAGGAACAAAAAAAAAAAAAAAAAAAAAAAGTGACGTCTTCACAACCAGATTCACCACACAACATAAAGGCAGTTCCTCTAGGAGTCTAGGTATGGAACTGGGGGGTGGTATTACGGTGTACTGAGGATGATGTTTTAGTTTCTTCCCCTGTTCTTAACTGAGTTAAAATATCAGCAAGGACTTATGGGGGCATGTACTGTAACTCAATATCCATACGTTGCGGGTGTCTGTTCTCTTCACTGTAGGGTTGAAATATGGATGTGAAAATATAGAAGCCAAGTTAGAATTTTAGTGAAAGTTTAATTCTGTGACAAAAGGCAGATTAACCCTACGGGGGGGGGGGAATGAAGCGGTAGCACTTGTGCTCCATTTAATTAGTCCCTGAAAACAGCTTTTGGAGCAATGTTCCTCTTGTATTAGCTTGAATTGTCAGACTGAAGCCTTAAACGGATTCACTTTGGCAGGTTCTACTTACAAGAGCTGTGTAAAAAAAAAAAAGGGGGGGGGGGAGGGTGATTGTCTCTTCCTTTGGAGAGGAGCCAACTCATGATGTCATCGGGTTTAGAGAAAGTCACATCAAAGCACTGTCAGCTATTTAAGGCCTGTTCAAATAGAACTATTGAGCAGGGGAAATTCATCTGTACCCCCAAAAGTTCTATAAAACACTCACCCCCCACCCTCAAAATCCCATTACTTGAGCCTCTGGCTCCTGCCACCTGTAGTGAGGTATGACAATGAGTGAATTAAAGGTAAAAAGATTGCTCATGGCCAGTCAGAACTAACCTGACGGTATCATTACCAGCTTGCTACTTTTCATCTAATATACAACAAGTGCAGGTTAGGAAAAGAAGCAACCAGCTGTTCACAGCAATGAAAACAATCTGTGAGCCTCTGACTGAAATACTATATTAAAGGAAGGCTTGCTAATACAATGAAAAGAGAATCTGGATTCAAATTAAAACTCCAGCACTGTTAACATAGCAATTATTGTGAGAGCACCTACCACTGTCCCAACACATAATTAACTGCTTTAGCTGACGCCACAGCAACGAACTCTGAAAGCTCTCTTCCATTATTCATACTATGCGAGGCAAGTTAATGAAGATCAGGATCTTTTTAAACTGGGAATGTGCGTGAAATGTTTCATTTTTTAACAGTGCCCACACTGCTATTGCTTAGAAAAAGTTATGGGTGAGCTGGCCGCCTCCTCTTTCCCAACCAGCTGACTACAAACTCAGGAATTTGGGATGACCCAACTTCCTAGAGCATGCATTTCAGAACAATGCAGTGAAGAGCGATCTACAGTATCATGATATAAAACGACCCCTCATACGCAGAGCTTGTTGCTGAGGGTTCTAACCTCCGCAGGCCAGCAAAGGGATATAGGATATAGATATAGGAGTTAAGATATAGATATTCAGGCCTGTCTGTAAAGGCCTATACTCTAAGAATTTAGGTGCATTCTTATCAGTTAGCTAGTTCTACAGGTATAAAAGAGAGAATCAAAATCACTGTCTGACTGTATAAGGCCTTTTCTCACTTGACAGTCTGAAGCCCTGTTCTTAGGCTAAGGCCTTTGGCTAAGCAGCAGAGGCAGCCAAAAGCTGGGAAGCGACCGGTCACATCCCACCCTAGTCTCATTGAAATAAGGTGCCATTGGGCTGTTGGGAATACAATCCTGTCCTGATAATGCCTGTCGCCTCCAGAGAAAGGGAAGTGCCTAGAAAATGTAAAAGGAAACTTAGTTTGATAGCATCCTGTCTGGCAAGAACTCACTTATCAATAGCCAGGATGTGAAATCCTCATTTCTGAGTTGTTCTCTCATTGTAGTCCCCATTTCCCTATTGTTTGTCTGTATAAACTGTCTGGTTCTGTGATTGTTTCTGTCTGCTATATAATTAATTTTGCTGGGTGTAAACTAATTAAGGTGGTGGGATATAATTGGTTAAATAATCATGTTACAATATATTAGGACTGGTTAGTTAAATTTCAGTAAAATGATTGGTTAAGGTATAGCTAAACAGAACTCAAGTTTTACTATATAGTCTGCAGTCAATCAGGAAGTGGGCGGGGGGGGGAACAGGGACACAGGTAAGACTCTGTGGTGTCAGAGCTGGGAAGGGGGACACTAAGGAAGGAAACTGGAATCATGCTTGCTGGAAGTTCACCCCAATAAACACTGAATTGTTTGCACCTTTGGACTTCGGGTATTGTTGCTCTCTGTTCATGCGAGAAGGACCAGGGAAGTAAGCAGGTGAAGGAATAAGCCCCCTAACAAGGGGTAGTTACTCAGACATAGGGAGATGCCCAGAGACCCCCATGGCACATGGAGATCGAGTGTAATTATGGTCCTCTACACTCCATTCACCTGCACTCCCTTCCATACATCCCAGATAAGAGGTGTGACACCCATCAGAACACGTGTGACCATCTTCCCCAGCAATGAATGCAAGGTAAAAAGGTGTGGCTCCCAAGCGCTTCGCATCGAATTTCAGCTAATATCACTGCACTTGAGAGCTTTTCCTTTTTTAGAGAAAGCTTTCAGCCATCCAACTCAAGCAAGGATGGTGGCAGCAGCTGCTGGAGGCTCTTGTTAAGGACAGAACTGTGTGTCACGGGGACAGCAGCAGCCTCCTGAACCAGAGTTAAATTGTCTTTCTCCACAGCGTGTGATTTATACTGTGGATTGATGTCTCAAATGGCATTAGCATCTCCCACTGTTTCATACCATAGTTCTGAAACTTGGAAATCTAACTCAGTGGTTAACCCCAACTGTAATGCTCAGATAATGTAACTGATCAATGCTCTTTACCACATATAGCATTAGTAGGCAGCTAGCAAATATACTATTTTCAGGGCAATGTTACTTTAATCAATTAAAGCTACAATCTATGTAACTAACAAAGCTGTCTCAATTCTGTACCATATTGGTTAGGGGGTGTGCTGCTGTATACCCTCTACTCTTTGTCTGTCAGTGTCTTTAGACTGTAATCCCTTTTGGAGAGGGAATCTCTCTGTATAGTGCCTACCACCATGGGGCCCCAATCCCTATTGAAGCCTTTAGGTACTACAGTAATGTAAAATTTCCTTCTACTGCTAAACTATCTAGGTTTCTTAGGCACAAATGAACACGTTCCATGAGTAATTCTGGGATTGTCACTAGTTCTTTTTTGCTCACAAATATTAGCCCTGCTTTCTAAACATAATAGCTTACTATGAAACAAAATACTGAACATTGTACATGAACATAGTACATTACATCTGTATTATAGATTTAATGAACTGAGATCTGAAAACATGAATGTAACGTTTATACAGTTCAGTTGTTTACATAATGAAGCAGACTGTAAAAACCCTACTTCTCACTTATAATTTTCTTAGCTACAGCATATCAACTCATACAGTATACATTACTTCCAAAATGGTCTTAAACATCTAAATTTTTCATTCCGTTATTTTTTTTAAAAAAGTGTTACATATTAATTACTCTGGAAAGTTTCTGAACTCTATTTAGCAGCAAATCTCCTTTCTTGATGGTTTCTTGGTACTGCCAGTTCTTGCTATCAGGCCTACAAATTATGAAGAAAGGGTTTTAGAGTAAGAAGTCACATTAAACCATGACAAGCTTTTCAATAACTGTCAATTCAGTAACTGATTAGAATATACAGCGTTACACCAGATTATAGATACTGTACCTGTTAGTTTCGACTATCTCGTTTACTTTGTCTATTTTGCAATGCAGTCGCCCAGCTGCAATAAATCTTGAAAGCTCCCTAGTTAAAAAAAAAATATGTTCAATCTATAGATGTTGCACAGAAGAGTTGCAGGCCGCCCCCAAAGTGTCTTGTTTTCCTCCCACCCCACTTTTAAAGAAATGCCTTAAAGTTCTTTTTCCCCTACAGCTGTTTTTAGAAGAGCCTTTCATGTTCCACCTTTGCTCATCTACTTCCTTTTCTTCTTTTAAACTGCACCTCATTTGTTTGGACATTAGGAGGTGGTGGTGTATTGTGTACATTTAGTTTTTATTCTACTGTACAGCTCCTGAGCATTTGACACGGTCTACAGTTACATTAGTGGAATGGCTCCGAGGCAAGGCTATTACATGAAATAACTGGGTCATTGCTTCCTAAAAACTTATACTCTGAACCCGGGTAAGGACCCTCTATTCAGAACTCCCTATTCAGCCCAGGCTCCTACTGAAGCCAATAGGAGTTTTGTCTCGTCACCAAATGCAGAGAGTGATGTATTTCATGCTTTGTGGAAAGCCCCCTTTCAATTCTGGAGGTTGAAGTAAGTTAGCAGAAGGCAGCAACACAAACATGGTTATCCCACCATTTCTATTTCTCCTACTACAAACCGTGTCCAGCTCATTCAATCCAAAATCCATGTATGTCTCCCTTAATCTCTTGCCACACACAGTGCAAGCATGCTGAAGGTACCAAACCCTTCCTATCATCTCCTGATTTTGTGGGTCAGCTGAAGGAGCCAACAGTCTCCTTATCAACTCTGAGCACCCCCACATCCTCCTTCTGCACATATGTTCTGATGCTGAATCTTTATCCCACCAGCAATGTTAAATGAACTATCCTCAGTGATGGGCCGTAGCACCTGTGCTCAAATTACTCTGAATAGACAATCCTCTTCCCAGTTGCCACTGCCCTCCTATATCTCTGAAAAATTCAATCATACAGCATACTTCTCATGTTTCAGCCCCTCCTATAACGGAGAGTAGCCTTACTACACATTTTTACCCACCCTAGTCCCTGGCCTGAAAGTTTCTGCCCACAAGGCACAAACCTGCCTAACTGCCTGGCATTGCAAGTAGCTCATTTAGCACAACCTGTCAGCGATTTTATATGTTTTTCTAAGAGAAACAGTACAAAATTGTTTGACATTTCCTAATAGCCCTGCATGTTAGATTGTTTGCTTAATAAATTGCTGCTCACGTTAATTTTGTTTCCTGGTCCAACTAACGCTTATGAGGCCATATCGCAATATAACAAACGAGAGTGGTTTATTATGGATCGAAGTGTGGATATGAAGGAAAAAATAATGCTGGTGCTGAACAAGTGCCTGTGAATGGATAAGGACTGGTTACACTCTTCGTGTTGGTCTGTTTCCACAGAACTGTTTGTGGCGAGGAAAGAAGTGACAATGAAAATAAACAAACCCATATTCCCATAGTAGAGCATGACAACATGGAGAAGTACCTATAGTAAACCAGGTAAGTTACAATCATTAATAACGATCTACTCTCACTATTAATAACGATCTACTCTCACTATTAATAGAAACTGGTATAACTTAAGTGCTGATCTCATTAATATGATTATATTCAGTTTCCTTTCAAATGTTCATTTTTTGCTTTACTAATTTATTTATGTACATTTCAGTCAGGACTCAGATTCCTGCCCATTTTTTCTTAATTGGGAATATTTTAAAAAAATACTTATAGATGGAAGCAAGTTGTTTCTCTAGAGATATTCAAACACAAGCTGGCTGTTATAGGTATAGCCACTAAACTTTCACCCTAGATTTAACTTCAAATCCCAATATAGGTCACAGTGAAAACCAGTTGTTTGGTCTCACCTTAGAACTGGAACTGCAAGTGCAGACTGAGGTGTGATTTTGCAAAGCTTGCACAACAGCTGCCTACACTTTACCTGATTTAAACAACAAATATCAGGTCCAATCTACACAGCAATTATAAAGTGAGTCAGGCGATCCAGTTAAAACTTGTGGTGAAGATTGGACTTTATGTTCCAGTTTTGGGACACTTGACAGTCAAAATTTAAAGAACATGATGAAGTCTCATCTACATCATAACTTTTAAGTGTGTTATATCCTAGTTCCCTAAATTCAATTGTAGTTGTCCAGATAGCCCTTAGTCTTACCATGTAAAGAAAAAAATATTTTCCTAAGGTATCTCATGATGCTTCATGTGTAAAAACTAAATATACATTTCTTATGCAGAGAGAAAATGAAATACTGGACAATGATTTTTTTTTTAAACAGACTAAAGTTTAACTGATTTCTACCCTTAAACATGAGATTAGTAAAAAATAATCTTGCATGCATACACAGATAACTTGGTTTGTGGATGGTCTAATATCTCTTCTCTCTATTTGATATCATCTGTTTATTTGTAGCAGGATGATTGTAAACTCGTTACTTTATAAACAATGACTAAAGTCTCTAACTTACGAAAGTTACTTTTCACTTACTGATCTATGAATTCTACACCGACTCCAAAAGCTTCTGCCATGTACCCTAGTGTCAGTGACCGGTAGGATTCTAGGAGCTGGCTGTAAGCATGGATTCTCATTTCCCGTACATAATAACGGTAGTGAGGAGCAAACAGCCAATCTTTTTTCATCTCTTGCTCTACAATAGCTGAAAAGATAAAAATCACAAATACAGTCTATAATCTCTTAGAGTTAATCTATTCCTGGTTATACAAATAAAAAAAACAAACCACCCCACATAACAAAGTTCAATAAGCAACATGACATGGTATGTGGTCGTACAGGATCCTTGTGTCCCGTACGTGTGCATTGAGATATAAACGCACAACCAAAGTAGATATTCACATCTTTAACGATAACACTTGGTTTCTGTTTGCTTCATCAAAACTTGTTCTTAATAGAACAGTGGAGGGTAAGACTAGCTTTCTATTGAGAGGGTCTTAAACTGGCTTTAAGAAACTACAGATGCTTCAGGAACTCTTGGTTTTTGTCAGACTGGCACGTGCAGTTCTCAGCAGCAGCTGAGGTCTGCAGCTGAGATTTTCTGCCCTCTGCTTCTGGTTGCAGGGCAGCCATTCGGACCCAGTCTTCTCCAAAGTAAAGGGGAAGATTTTTTTAAAATTCTTATTTTTGCTACCCTAGAACCCATTTTCATGGAAACTGGAACAGAAACCAGCAGCATGAAAACTGACAGCACAGTGACAACAATGAAGAATGGATTTTAAAACTGCTTCCTTTCCTCATTTCTGCACTGTTCCCACAGAAACCAGTTCAAAACCGCCCTTAATAGCCAGCGGCTATGAAATCTCCCCTTTGTAATTTAAACCTGAAAGTTCAGATTTTAAAAATTTAGAATCCTTTGACTTCCTGAAGCATCCAGTGTTTTAAATTTATAAAAAACTGTCTTCATTTTTAAAGGAAGCCTTCCAGAATTCCCATTTTAATGGAGTTAAGTACTATTAGGGTCCCAATTCCACAATCAGGAATCTTGTATTTGCACACAGCTTATGGGTCTGACCACAGAATTAGGACCAAAGATAGCAAACTAGCTCTTTGATCGCATCCTGTAAGATGGTACTAGGTGCCTACATTGTCAGAACCTTCCCTCATCCAACAAGATGCCACCTTTCAAAATGCTCATTTTGTAAGAAAAACATTTTAGAGAGCCATAAATCCTTGCAAGAGCAGCTTACTTTACCTCACTGTGCTGCAAAGGGAAAGTGGTATTTAGGAGTGATTCACCTAAAGTAAATGGATGATTTTAACTGTCAGGGGTTTGACAACACTAACTACACCTATAGCCCATCCCCTAGGCAATTCTACAAAACTCAGCTACGATTTGTAGCAAGCTGCTCACAGGACCTAATGAGAAACACAGGACAATGATACTGGTGTATGAAACATCCTTACCTAATGACTGGAAGAAGACTGAATAACGACATTCATAGAGTGAAAAAAGATACTGTCGTACTGTTGGTAAACTATGCAACACTTCCAGAATCTCTGCCCCTTTAATAACCTGAAAGCAATCGAACAACATTTAGAAGTTTCATATACTAGTCAGAGAGAGAGAGAGAGAACATTAAGAACAATTTGATCAGCTTGAATCAGTGCAGTAATTTGCTTTACTTGCCTTCTCTCTAAGGTCAGGTCTGTCTAACGCGATCATACTGACGTAGACAGTATATGTTACAAATGTTTTGTAATCCATAAGTTCATAGGATGTAAATGTTGAAACTGTATCAAGAAAGAGTTCTGCTGCTTGTTTGAAATCTCGAATAGCTACGCAGTAAAGACCTTGGTAGACTTTTAGACGATTTCTCCTGTCCCAGTCTCCTCCTTCCTCTATTAGACTTAAAACAAATAAGATATATAGTTACATGTTTTATCTGAAATAATGAGTACAGTACATTTAACAAGGTTAGAGTGCATAAGGAAGTCTTAGTTATGAAGTACACTATATCGCAACCATTAGAGCTTCAAAAATGCACTTGTCAGTCATAGGTGGGACGCTTTCCTTGGTAAGTGAGGCCAGAATTCAAGCTACATTTTAAAAAATTAAAAAGTTTCTAGCTGATTTAGTTGTGATGATAATTTTCCAAATGTGAACCTATCCAGTACTGTGATCCTGAGTCCGCAGACACACACCTCCAATGCCTGTTGTTCAGCTTTGCTCACCAGTAGTAGACTAAAATCATTTAAAAAAAACTGTTAGGAAAAACCACCAAAATCTATGGGCAGCTGTGAAACTTTCAAGACCCCTGTAATGCTGCTGTAGCCATGAGCAGCAGCAGAGGCAGGGCCAGGAGCCATTCACAGGGGAGAACACAAAAAATAGTGACTGAGGGAAGAGTACAGTTAAAGATCTCTCATTGCAACAGCCAAGATGATCAGGAACCAGTAGTGGAGACCAGCTCATTGGAGCAGCCTGAAAGCGCCATGGTGTTAAGGGGAAAAAAGTTCCTTCTCCCTTCTAGCAGCTATAGGCAGGAAGAGGTTTGAAATTAAAGCTCATCAAATACAGGCCAGTCAGGAGCAGACACAAAAGATTCAAGCCCCAAGGAGTGTCCAAGGGCAGCAAATATCCTCACAGAAATCCCAACACCTCCATCTCCCCGCTCCCAGCAGCTGGAGGTTGTAAGGGCACCAGCATTTCCCATATGGGATTGCCCCATGACTAACTGATCCAGCATCCACTCATCTTTCATATCTAACTCTAGCTAGTGGGTTTATTCCTCTGGCTAGTTGGTATCTGATAAGTTTTTCAAGCCCTGGTTAGAATCGTTTGTGTCTTTCATAACTTTACTTAGGACCATAATGTATAACTAGATTTAATTTAAAATTAGTAAATAATGAGAACACAAATGTCACTTTATTTAAATTATAAAGTCTTTGTACCAGGAACTCCTATTTCTTTCAGATTGCAAAATGCACTGTGCACTCATAATAAGAATAAATACTAATTTTTTAAAATTATTAACAAATAAGCCAAACTTATTCACTCGTAATCAGGCAGTTCTATAGCTATCTTCAAACCTAGTGTTTTGTTAGACATATGCAACCAATGATGCTTTACTTCAAACAGTGATATTTGCCACAAATCTAACAATGGTACCTTTTTGCCTTTTCGATATTCCGTGTGATGAGGTCATTATCCATGTAAAACAAGCCAATTCTTAGAAGGTAGAACACAATATCCAGACGATGTCCCAGGGCCACAGTTTTGTCATATGTCTTACGAAAAGCAGTCAGAGCTCCTTCCTAACAAGACAATATTTTTTAATATTAAAACATAAAAAGGAACTGGCACCCCACTAAAATGTCTTATCAAGAGAAGCTGCCTTGGGTGTTACCAGGGTAGCATAGAGATTTATCTTGCTGACGGACATTTCAGCAGTACTGCGGGGGCAAAAAAAAAAAAAAAAACCACAGGCAAGTGAAACATGTCTTGGCACTTAAAAATGCTGGCAGCTAACTTAGAAAGCCAGTTTAAACTAAGTTAACATACTCTGATCAAGATGCACCATCCATAACAGAACTGTACAACTGTCTATCCTAAATAATTAAAATACCAACCTTTTTCAAAAAAGGAGATTAACATTCACAACCTGTCAAAGTTTAAATCTGAAGTTCCAAAAGTTACTCCCAAAATAGCTTAACAGAGTCCCCAATGCTTATATAAATACAGTAACTAACTCGCATTGCATATGCAATTATGATGTAACAGCTTAAAAACACAACACTAGGTAGGTACAAAATACTGTCTACAAAATGTTTTGAAAAGTTTTAAATGGCAAACTTTTATTTGTTCTCCTCTTAGTTTGCCTTTCACTTCCCAGTTTTATACCCCTTTCCTTTCTCTTGCTGCACTGCTTAGATCTCACCACTCACTCCACCCATGCGTGGTTCTATTTTCTCCAGATCATGAGTCAGTGGGCCTCCTCTAAATGGATAGCACGCATAAATTTGCCTGGTTTGAAAGTAGAAGGATGATTTTAATGACAGCAGCCCAAGGAACCTGAGCCTTTAACTCACCTTGTCCCCAATTCGGCACAGGTACTCAGCCTTGGCCATCATTGCATCGCGGATTTCACTCTCCCCCAAGATCTTTTCAGCATCTTCCAGTTCATTGTCGAGACGTTTCAACTCTTCCTCATTTGCCTTTTTCATCTTATTCAACAGCTCCATGTCCATCTGCCAGTCAAGGGGCTTGCAGAGTGCTTCATAGTATGGGGCCATATCTGAAAGAGAAGTGGGGTAGCTCTCGCTGTCATAAACATTGCTGCAGGATCACATATCAATAGTCTGAAGTGCTAAAGGAAAACTCCCATTGACAGAGGGATATAACCAGATTAGTTATCAGGCAGCTGCCTCTTAAAAGGACATTTAGACACTATGCATTGAAGATTGTGTTTCAGGTTCTCTTCCTCTTTGACATTCTCCTGCCTCTTATGCACAATTCATTCACTTCCCTGGTCCACAGCCTGCTCTTTAGCTATTTCATCCACTTGTTGCCTCTTGCCATGCTTCTAGTCTGGCTATTAGGCTGTCTTTACTTGCTTATATAGCACAGAGCGCAACTGGACCCTGATACTAGACTAGCACTGCTAGGTGCTACTGCAAGATAAATAACAGCCCTTTCTCTTCAGCAGTAGAGACCGTGGGGCACAGAGACTGAGATGCACCCAAACCTCACAGAATAAGGTGATGCTGTGGAACACTAACCCCAAAAGGTCAGTCCCTATGGACAGACCTACCTCTCCTCTCCCCCCACCCCTATGAGTGCTGGCAGGGCACCCTGGGGGCCCACAGCTTGTTACCGGGGAAGGAGAGAAGCCCCAAGCTGCAACCCCTCAGCAGAGGACGGAATGGGGTCTGAGGTTGGGGGATGTGGAGGGGGAAGAAATTGGCTGTGGGATGTTTGGGGAGGGAGGGGTTGGGAACTGGAGGATGGTGGGGAGTGGGGAATGGGACTGGGACCTCTAAGGGAATGGGGACTGCGTCTGGTGCTGGGGGATGTGGAAGAACGGAGGGGGAGGGACAAAAAGGGGGAGGAAAATGTGAGGGGAGAGGGCTGGGGGCTCATGCGCGGGGAGGCCAGGGGCCGGAGTGGGGGAGGGGGCCAATGAGGGAGCAGGACACTGAAGTAGGGGAGGGGGACCAAAGGGGGGAGAGGAGGGAATGGGAGTGGGGTCCAAGGGCCTGGGGGTGGGCAAGGGGGGAAGAGGAGGGGGGAGGGAAGGGAACGGGGGCGGAGTCCAGGGGCCCAGGAGGGAATGGGGCCGAAGAAGAGGAGAGGAGGGAACAGAGGGCTGGATCAGGGGAGAGGGCCCAGGAGAGAAGAGAACGGTGGCAGCGGAGGGGACCCGGGAGCGGGGGAGAGGTTGGGGTGGGGGAGGGGCTCAGGGGGAAAGTGGGATACCGGGAGGAAGCAGGAGCGCAGGAGAGGGCATGGCTCCTGCCTCATACTGAGAAAGAGGGACAATCAGTGAGTTATCTCAAGTGCCTATACACAAATGCAAGACGCCTGGGAAACAAGCAGGGAGAACTGGAAGTCCTGGCACAGTCAAGGAATTATGATGTGATTGGAATAACAGAGACTTGGTGGGATAACTCACATGACTGGAGTACTGTCATGGATGGATAAAAACTGTTCAGGAAGGACAGGCAGGGCAGAAAAGGTGGGGGAGTTGCACTGTATGTAAGGGAGCAGTATGACTGCTCAGAGCTCCGGTACGAAACTGCAGAAAAACCGGAGAGTCTCTGGGTTAAGTTTACAGGCGAGAGCCACAAGGGTGATGTCATGGTGGGAGTCTGCTATAGACCACCGGAGCAGGGGGATGAAGTGGACGAGGCTTTCTTCCGGCAACTCACGGAAGTTACTAGATCGCTAGTCAGCCTCACCTCAGTCCCTGGAAAAATCATGGAGCAGGTCCTCAAGGAATCAATTCTAAAGCACTTAGAGGAGAGGAAAGTGATCAGGAACAGTCAGCATGGATTCACCAAGGGCAAGTCATGCCTGACTAATCTATTTGCCTTCTATGATGAGATAACTGGCTCTGTGGATGAGGGGAAAGCAGTGGACATGTTGTTCCTTGACTTTAGCAAAGCTTTTGACATGGTCTTCCACAGTATTCTTGCCAGCAAGTTAAAGAAGTATGGGCTGGATGAATGGACTATAAGGTGGATAGAAAGCTGGCTAGATTGTTGGGCTCAATGGGTAGTGATCAATGGCTCCATGTCTAGTTGGCAGCCAGTAACAAGTGGAGTGCCCCAATGGTCGGTCCTCGGGCCGGTTTTGTTCAATATCTTCATTAATGATCTGGAGGATGGCGCAGACTGCACCCTCAGAAAGGTTGCAGATGACACTAAACTGGGAGGAGTGGTAGATACACTGGAGGGTACGGATAAGATACAGAGGGACCTAGACAAATTAGAAGATTGGGCCAAAAGAAATCTGATGAGGTTCAACAAGGACAAGTGCAGAGTCCTGCACTTAGGATGGAAGAATCCCATGCACCGCTACAGACTAGGGACCGAATGGCTAGTCAGCAGTTCTGCAGAAAAGGACCTAGGGGTTACAGTGGACAAGAAGCTGGATATGCGTCAACAGTGTGCCCTTGTTGCCAAGAAGGCCAATGGCATTTTAGGCTGTATAAGCAGGAGCATTGACAGCAGATTGAGGGACATGATCGTTCCCCTCTATTTGGCATTGGTGAGGCCTCGTCTGGAGTACTGTGTCCAGTTTTGGGCCCCACACTACAAGAAGGATGTGGAAAAATTGGAAAGAGTCCAGCGAAGGGCAACAAAAATGATTAGGGGTCTGGAACACATGAGTTATGAGGAGAGGCTGAGGGAACTGGGGATGTTTAGTCTTCAGAAGAGAAGAATGAGGGGGGATTTGATAGCTGCTTTCAACTACCTGAAAGGGGGTTCCAAAGAGGATGGATCTAGACTGTTCTCAATGGTAGCAGATGACAGAACGAGGAGTAATGGTCTCAAGTTGCAGTGGGGGAGGTTTAGGTTGGATATTAGGAAAAACTTTTTCACTAGGAGGGCGGTGAAGCACTGGAATGCGTTACCTAGGGAGGTGGTGGAATCTCCTTCCTTAGAAGTTTTTAAGGTCAGGCTTGACAAAGCCCTGGCTGGGATGATTTAATTTGGGATCAGTCCTGCTTCGAGCAGGGAGTTGGACAAGATGACCTTCTGAGGTCCCTTCCAACCCTGATATTCTATGAGGGGGGAAGAGGAGGGGCCCAGGGGCCCGGGAGAGAAAGGGGCAGGGGAGGGGCCCAGGGAGGGAATGGGGGAGGGGAATGGGTAGTGGGGGGAGAGGACCGGGGAGAGGAAGAGGCCGCACAGTAGGGGAGGGGTCCAGGGCCCGGGAGAGGAGGAGGGGGGGGAGGGAAGGGGGAGGGCAGGTGGGGGCCAGGGCCCGGGAGGGAAGGGGACCACGCAGTAGGGGAGGGGGCCAGGGCCCAGGAAGGAGGGAGGGAGGGGGGCCCGGGAGAGGAGGGGGAGGGGAGTGGCGGGGGAGGGGGCCAGGGCCCAGGAGAGGAGGGGGAGGGGTGGGCCGGGGCCAGGGCCCAGGAGGGAAGGGGACCGCGCAGTAGGGGAGGGGGCCAGGGCCCAGGAAGGAGGGAGGGAGGGGGGCCGGGGAGAGGGAGGGGGCAGGGCCCAGGAGAGGGGGGGGAGGGGGGGGAGAGGGGGGAGGGAGGGGAGGGTGGGGGGAGGGCGAGGGGAGGTAGGGGGGGGGAGGGCGGAAGGAGGGAGGGAGAGGGCCGGGGGAGGGGGGGGGGGTAGGGGGGGGGCGGGAGAGGGGGGGGGGGGGGGGGGGGGGAGGGGGGGGGTGGGGGGGGGGGCGGGAGGGGGGGACGGCGTAGGGGAGGGGGAGGGCCCGGGAAGGAGGGAGGGAGGGGGGCGGGAGAGGGGGGGGGGGGGGGGGGGGGGGAGAGGAGGGGGAGGGGGGCCGGGGCCGGGGAGAGGAGGGGGAGGGGTGGGCCGGGGCCGGGGCAGGGCCCGGGAGGGAAGGGGACCGCGCAGTAGGGGAGGGGGCCAGGGCCCGGGGCCCGGGGAGGAGGGGGAGGGTGGGGGGGGGCGGGGGAGGAGGGGGGAGGGGGGCCGGGGCCGGGGAGAGGAGGGGGAGGGGTGGGCCGGGGCCGGGGCCGGGCCCGGGAGGGAAGGGGACCGCGCAGTAGGGGTGGGGGCCAGGGCCAGGGCCAGGGCCCGGGAAGGAGGGAGGGAGGGGGGCCCGGGAGAGGAGGGGGAGGGGGCCGGGGCCGGGGAGAGGAGGGGGAGGGGTGGGCCGGGGCCGGGGCCGGGAGGGAGGGGAGGTGGGGAGGGGGGGCGGGGGAGGGGGGGGGTAGGGGTGAGGGGGGGGGCCGGGAGAGGAGGGGGGGGGGGGGGGGGGGGGGGGGGGTGGGGGGGGAGGGGGGGAGGGGAGGGGGGGGCGGGGAGAGGAGGGGGAGGGGTGGGCCGGGGCCGGGGCCGGGAGGGAAGGGGACCCAGTAGGGGTGGGGCCAGGGCCCGGGAAGGAGGGAGGGAGGGGGCCCGGGAGAGGAGGGGGAGGGGGCCGGAGCCGGGGAGAGGAGGGGGAGGGGTGGGCCGGGGCCGGGCCCGGGAGGGAAGGGGACCGCGCAGTAGGGGAGGGGGCCAGGGCCCGGGAAGGAGGGCCCGGCCCGGCCCGGCCCGCACTCACTGTGGCGCCGCACGGCCGCCATGAGCTCCTCGCGCACGGCGGGCTCGGGGCGCTGCGGCCGCAGGCTGAGGAGGAAGCGGAGCTGGGCGATGCGCAGGTCGGGGTTCTTGGGCAGCCCCTCCTCCTCCAGGTTCTCCAGCGGCATGGCGGGGCCGGGGCAGCGGGCGGCCGGCGGCGGCGGGGAGCGGCGCGGCCAGTGACTCAGCCGCCGAGAGACGGAAACCGGCGGCGGCCGCTTCCGCCCGCCCGGCCCCCGGTCCCGGTCCCGGCTCCGCCTCGCAGCGCCCCCTGCCGGCTCCCGGGAGCGGCCCGGCCAGGCGCCGAGCGGCCCCGCTGCCGCACAGATGCCGCCAGCACCCGGCGCCCCGCCTCCGCCCACAGCGCGCTAGAGACCCCCCGCCCCCGACACCGACCCCCCCTGAGACCGACACCCGCCATGAGACCCCCCAGAGACACCCCCCGACACCCTCAGAGACACCCCCCCGACACTGACCCCCCCGACATGAGACCCTCAGAGACACCCGCCGACACCCGCCATGAGACCCTCAGAGACACCCCCCCCGACACCGACCCCCCCCCCCCCCCCCGACACCCGCCATGACACCCTCAGAGACACCCCCCCCCACACCCGACACCCACCATGACACCCTCAGAGACACCCCCCTGACACCGACCCCCCCGACACCCGCCATGAGACCCCCAGAGACACCCCCTGAACCCCCGAGACCCCCCACCCCCCGACACACCCCCATGAACCTCCAGAGACCCCCCCGACACACCCCCCGACACCCGCCCCCCTGAGACCGACACCCGCCATGAGACCCCCAGAGACACCCCCCCCGACACCGACCCCCCGCCCCCCGCCTCCCCTGAGACCGACACCCGCCATGAGACCCCCAGAGACACCCGCCATGAGACCCTCAGAGACACCCCCACACACACCGACCCCCCCGCCACCCGCCCCCCCTGAGACCGACACCCGCCATGAGACCCCCAGAGACACCCGCCATGAGACCCTCAGAGACACCCCCCCACACACCGACCCCCCCGCCACCCGCCCCCCCTGAGACCGACACCCGCCATGAGACCCCCAGAGACACCCGCCATGAGACCCTCAGAGACACCCCCCCCCCACACACCGACCCCCGCCCCAGACCCGCCCCCCCATGAGACCCTCAAGACACCCCCGACACCACCCCCTGAGACCGACACCCGCCATGAGACCCCCAGAGACACCCGCCATGAGACCCTCAGAGACACCCCCCCACACACCGACCCACCCGCCCCCCCCTGAGACCGACACCCGCCATGAGACCCCCAGAGACACCCCCTGACACCGACCCCCACTGAGACCGACACCCGCCATGAGACCCTCAGAGACACCCGCCGACACCCGCCATGAGACCCTCAGAGACACCCCCCCGACACCGACCCCCCTGAGACCGACACCCGCCATGAGACCCTCAGAGACACCCCCCGACACCCTCAGAGACACCCCCGACACTGACCCCCCCCGACATGAGACCCTCAGAGACACCCGCCGACACCCGCCATGAGACCCTCAGAGACACCCCCCCCCAACACCGACCCCCCCCCCCCCCCCGACACCCGCCATGACACCCTCAGAGACACCCCCTGACACCCGCCATGACACCCTCAGAGACACCCCACCCGACCCCCCCGACACCCCCATGACACCCTCAGAGACACCCCCTGACACCCGCCACACCCTCAGAGACACCCCCTGACACCACCCCCCCCCCCCATACACCCCCCAGAACACCCCCCCCGACACCGACCCCCCCGACACCCGCCATGAGACACCCAGAGACACCCGCCGACACCCGCCATGAGACCCTCAGAGACACCCCCCGACACCGACCCCCCCCTGAGACCGACACCCGCCATGAGACCTCCAGAGACACCCCCCGACACTGACCCCCCCGACACCCGCCCCCCTGAGACCGACACCCGCCATGAGACCCCCAGAGACACCCCCCCGACACCGACCCCCCCGCCCCCCGCCCCCCCTGAGGCCGACACCCGCCATGAGACCCCCAGAGACACCCGCCATGAGACCCTCAGAGACACCCCCCACACACCGCCCCCACCCCCCGACACCCCCCCCCCGCCCCCTGAGACCGACACCCGCCATGAGACCCCCAGAGACACCCGCCATGAGACCCTCAGAGACACCCCCCCCACACCGACCCCCGCCCCCGCCCCCCCCCCCGAGACCGACACCCGCCATGAGACCCCCAGAGACACCCGCCATGAGACCCTCAGAGACACCCCCCACACACCGACCCCCCGCCACCCGCCCCCCTGAGACCGACACCCGCCATGAGACCCCCAGAGACACCCCCCCGACACCGACCCCCCACTGAGACCGACCCCCCCCCCCCCCCCCGCCATGAGACCCTCAGAGACACCCGCCGACACCCGCCATGAGACCCTCAGAGACACCCCCCCGACACCCGACCCCCCCTGAGACCGACACCCGCCATGAGACCCCCAGAGACACCCGCCATGAGACCCTCAGAGACACCCCCACACACCCCCCCCCACCGCCCCCCACCCGCCCCCCTGAGACCGACACCCGCCATGAGACCCCCAGAGACACCCCCCGACACCGACCCCCACTGAGACCGACACCCGCCATGAGACCCTCAGAGACACCCGCCGACACCCGCCATGAGACCCTCAGAGACACCCCCCCCGACACCGACCCCCCTGAGACCGACACCCGCCATGAGACCCTCAGAGACACCCCCCGACACCCTCAGAGACACCCCCCCGACACTGACCCCCCCGACATGAGACCCTCAGAGACACCCGCCGACACCCGCCATGAGACCCTCAGAGACACCCCCCCCAACACCGACCCCCCCCCCGACACCCGCCATGACACCCTCAGAGACACCCCACCTGACACCGACCCCCCCCCGACACCCGCCATGACACCCTCAGAGACACCCCCTGACACCCGCCATGACACCCTCAAAGACACCCCCCCCCTGACACCGACCCCCCGACACCCCCCCCACCGACACCCCCATGAGACCCCCCCCCGACACCCGCCATGAGACCCCCAGAGACACCCCCCGACACCCGCCATGAGCCCTCAGAGACCCCCCCCCCCCCCCCTGAGACCGACACCCGCCATGAGACCTCCAGAGACACCCCCCGACACTGACCCCCCCGACACCCGCCCCCCTGAGACCGACACCCGCCTACCCCCAGGACCCCCCGAGACCCCCCCCACACCCGCCATGAGACCCCCAGAGACACCCCCCCGACACCAGACCCCCCCCCCCGCCCCCCCTGAGACCGACACCCGCCATGAGACCCCCAGAGACACCCGCCATGAGACCCCAGAGACACCCCCCACACCGACCCCCGACCCCGACCCCCGCCACCCGAGACCCCCAGAGACCCCCCGACACCCGCCATGAGACCCCAGAGACACCCCCGACACCGACCCCCACCCCCCCCTGAGACCGACACCCGCCATGAGACCCCAGAGACACCCGCCCATGAGACCCTCAGAGACACCCCCCCCCACACCGACCCCCTGAGACCGACACCCGCCATGAGACCCCCAGAGACACCCGCCATGAGACCCCCAGAGACACCCCCCGACACCGACCCCCACTGAGACCGACACCCCCCATGAGACCCTCAGAGACACCCGCCGACACCCGCCATGAGACCCTCAGAGACACCCCCCCAACACCGACCCCCCCCCCCCTGAGACCGACACCCGCCATGAGACCCTCAGAGACACCCCCCCTGACACCCTCCGAGACACCCGCCATGAGACCCCCAGAGACACCCCCCACCCCCCACACCCGACCCCCCCGAGACCACACCCCCCATGAGACCCCCAGAGACACCCCCCGACACCCGCCCCCGACACCCTCAGAGACACCCCCCCACACCGACCCCCACGACACCCGCCATGAGACCCCCAGAGACACCCACACCCGCCATGAGACCCTCAGAGACACCCCCCCACACACCGACCCCCCCGAGACCGACACCCGCCATGAGACCCCCAGAGACACCCCCCCGACACCGACCCCCACTGACACCCCGCCATGAGACCCTCAGAGACACCCCCTGACACCCGCCATGAGACCCTCAGAGACACCCCCCGACACCGACCCCCCCCCAGACCGACACCCGCCATGAGACCCCCAGAGACACCCCCCCCGCCGACACCCGCCATGAGACCCTCAGAGACACCCCCCCACACCCGACCCCCCCGCCACCCGCCCCCCCCTGAGACCGACACCCGCCATGAGACCCCCAGAGACACCCCCACCGACACCGACCCCCCGACACCCGCCCCCCTGAGACCGACACCCGCCATGCCGAGACCCTCCAGAGACACCCCCCCCGACACCGACCCCCCCCCGCCCCCCCCCTGAGACCGACACCCGCCATGAGACCCCCAGAGACACCCGCCGAGACCCTCAGAGACACCCCCCCCACACCGCACCCCCCCAGACCCCCCCCTGAGACCCCCCGACACCCGCCATGAGACCCTCCAGAGACACCCCCCCCACACACCGACCCCCCCCCCCCCCCCCCCTGACTGAGACCGACACCCGCCATGAGACCCCCAGAGACACCCGCCGACGAGACCCCCAGAGACCCCCCCCACACACCCCCCCCCCGCCACCCGCCCCCCTGAGACCGACACCCGCCATGAGACCCCCAGAGACACCCCCCCCCGAGACCGACACCGCCACCTCAGAGACACCCCCACCGACACCCCCACATGAGACCCTCAGAGACACCCCCCGACACCGACCCCCGACACCCGCCAGACCCCCAGAGACACCCGCCATGAGACCCTCAGAGACACCCCCCCCACACCGACCCCCCCCACCCCCCCCCCTGAGACCGACACCCGCCCACCCCCAACCCCCAGAGACACCCCCCCCGACACCCCGACCCCCACTGAGACCGACACCCGCCATGAGACCCCCAGAGACACCCGCCATGAGACCCTCAGAGACACCCCCCACACCCGACCCCCTCGACACCCGCCCCCTGAGACCGACACCCGCCATGAGACCCCCAGAGACACCCCCGACACCACCACACCCCACAGACCGACACCCGCCATGAGACCCTCAGAGACACCCGCCGACACCCGCCATGAGACCCCAGAGACACCCCCCGACACCCCCCCCCACCCCCTGAGACCGACACCCGCCAAGACCCCCAGAGACAC